TGGCTGCTCCACTTCCAATCTAGCTTCCTGCTATGCACCTTGTGGAGGTAGGAAAAAGATGGCTCAAGTGCTTGGGCTCCTGGCACCCATGTGGGAAACCTGGATGCGGTTTCAGGCTCCTGGCTTCAGCCTGGCCCATCTCTGTCCATTATTGATGTTTAAGGAAGAAGCAGATGAAAGATAGCTCACTCTCACTCTCTTTCTCTTTCCCTTCCTCTCCCTCTCTATCTTCCTCTTCCTCTCACTCTACCGCTTCCTCTCTCTCTGTCACTCTGCTTTTCAAATAAATATATCTTTTTTAAAAAATTATTAGCTTTTGGCCAGCGCCACGGCTCACTAGGCTAATCCTTAGCCTTGCAGCACCGGCACACCGGGTTCTAGTCCCAGTCGGGGTGCCGGATTCTGTCCCGGTTGCCCCTCTTCCAGGCCAGCTCTCCGCTGTGGCCAGGGAGTGCAGTGGAGGATGGCCCAAGTACTTGGGCCCTGCACCCCATGGGAGACCAGGAGAAGCACCTGGCTCCTGCCATCAGATCAGCGCGGTGCGCCGGCCGCAGCACACCGGCCGTGGCAGCCATTGGAGGCTGAACCAACGGAAAAGGAAGACCTTTCTCTCTGTCTCTCTCTCTCACTGTCCACTCTGCCTGTCAAAAAATAAATAAATAAATAAAATTATTAGGTTTGACTATCAGAAGAGACCAATCATGAGTTGCTGTGAGGACTCAAGCCTCCACAAACAGTTGCTCAAAATAAGGGGTTTTTGGTGTTGTTCCTGTTGTTGGCTATAAGACTTCAGGCAAAGCTTGGTTTCCTGGGCTTGGAGGAAGGTCATGGGGCAAAGCATGTGGAGGGCGACAGGTAATGTTGTCTTGAGTTCTCGACCGTCACCTTCAAAGTATCTATCCACCCATCATTTGCTTTTAAGATAAAAGAGCAGAGTGAGCAGCTCTCCCTGAGTTGGGAACTTTCCCTGTGTCCTCTGTCACGTCTCGGTTCTCAGATCGCACTGTTCCTTCTGCGTGAGGTCTGCTGCCTTTTCAGCGGATCCAGGTTCCACTATTGTATGGATGGCAGCAGAGCAGAGTGACCAAACCTTGACCCAGGAGCAGGACACATCTGAGTTTGAGCTCGCACCCTCACTGTAGAGCCTCAGATAGCTGTCTTTATCTCGCTAAGGTTTTGTAAGGATTAAATGAAATCACATTTACAGAATGTCTACAATATGTGAGAAGCTAACCCTGGTCAGCTGATACTATTATTATCATTAATCCAATTGCCAGATCTGCTTCCCTTCTCATGTATCTCCTTATCCATGGTGACTTGGATGCATTGGCCAATGACAGCCGCCTTGAGACCCACTCTCCTCTGTCCTCATCAGTACTCCAGCCTCTGAGCACTCTATCTCCCCCTTTCCCTTCTTTGCTGTTTTTTTGTTGTTGTTGTTGTTCTCCTTTCTAATATGCCTGCCCTGTCTAAGCAGCCTTACTAGTATTTTTTTACCAAAAACTTTTGGAAGAAACCAAGATCCAAGATCCATAGATCCACAGACTGAATATCCAGCCTCTTTATCCAGACTTACAGCAGAGCAATGGGAGAGGGTGAAGACATCACACACGCCTCTGCGCAGTCACTGGATGCGATCAGGAGGAGGCTTGTGCTTCTTCACAAATTTTTTTTTTTTTGACAGGCAGAGTGGACAGTGAGAGAGAGAGAGACAGAGAGAAAGGTCTTCCTTTGCCATTGATTCACCCTCCAATGGCCGCCGCGGCCGGCGCACTGCGCTGATCTGATGGCAAGAGCCAGGTGCTTCTCCTGGTCTCCCATGGGGTGCAGGGCCCAAGTACTTGGGCCATCCTCCACTGCACTCCTGGGCCACAGCAGAGAGCTGGACTGGAAAAGGAGCAACTGGGACAGAATCCAGCACCCCGACTGGGACTAGAACCCGGTGTGCCGGCACCACAAGGCAGAGGATTAGCCTAGTGAGCCGCGGCGCCGGCCTTCTTCACAAATTAATGAACTAGTAAACGGGTCAGGAGTGGGGGCTTGCAGTTCAAGTTTATGGAGATAAATTTCAGTACATAACATACATAGCTTGAGATTTATCAAGCATAGAAAGGACCGTGAAGGGACTCTAGACTCTACAGAAATCACTAGGTCCTGCTATGGACTTGCAACTTAGAATGATTATTTGCAAAACTTTCTCCCAGGCTTCACCAGCCAACAGTAGAAGAAATGCAACCTGACAGACATATAAAATGTCACCAAAGCACCAGAGCTCCTGAGGCGGAATCTCCAGCCTTCCGTAAGTTCTCCCCACAGGATTCCTGGGAGTCCCTGTGGTGTGTCACACACGGCCATGGAAAGGGTCCTTTCTGCTCAGGGCCATCATGTCTCATCAGCCATCCTTCAAGAATCGCTTTATTTGTCATCAATCCACTGACCCCCAGTATAGGGAGACCATCAATTCTCTCCTTTAGGCACTGCCATCAATTAATCCATGTTTTGTCAGTACCAGGTACAGGTCTGGCACTTGTGACAATGTAGACAGACTCATCATTTCATGACTTGAAATCAGGCACGGTTACTAGGGCCCAAAAGCAGCAGTACCCATAACCTAAGCCTCAAATGCACTTCTATTTTTTCCAGGGGCCCGCTCCCCACCACAGTCATATACCTCTGTCCACTTCTACTCCTGTATCCGAGGTGAGCTACGGCTATAATTTCCCTTTTTGAAGACCGTTTATCTCCATGCAAGCCAATGAGATACACATTCACAGATGGCCACAACCTTAAGATTCTCTTTTAACGCAATAAAGACAAAATCCCCAACCTTGAGCAGATTGTTTGAGTTTAGATCCTACTGTTTTCTAGAAGCACTCCAGGTCTTTCTCCACGCAAACATTTGGAATAACTGATGCCGAGACCATTTAGAGCCGGGAGGCGACTGGGACAACCACCCGTGACTACCGTGTGCCAGGGGCTGGAGAAGCAAGGTGAGCATGACAGAGTCCCTCCCATAGCAGAAACCGCAGGCGACTTTATCCTTGGTTACTTAGGAAAGAATGCCATGGGAACACGGCATCGACTCGGGAATGCCAATCAGAAATACGGGTCAAGGAAGTAGATGTCAGAGTAAAACATTCTGGGAGATGTGGTTGGAGAATAAAAGGAATTATAAGATGGGGTAGGAAAGTATCTATTTGAAAGAAAGACATGAACAAGGACTCGCTTTTGTTTGGGAAAACACAGATAATTGCACCGTTTCCTAGGAAAGGGGGCTATTACTTATCAGGCTAGAGATCTGTGTTACTGGGTCAAGGCCGGAATGATGGGGAATAAAGGCACAAAAATGTCATTCACAGAACAGTTAAAGTTGTACTACTGGCTAATACTACTGCTGATCAGAGCTAATCACTTACTAAAAGGAAGGATAACACCTTAATGCATGAAGAAATAAAATCCAAAGGTGAACAAGTCCTTGTTGTAAGCCATGATGTCCTTGCTTACCAAGGCTGGATTCAACAACACACCCTGGGGTTTCCCTTCCTGAGAACACCAACTCTGGCCTTAGGTGAGAATTCAGGCCTCACAGCTGCACACACTCTATTAGAGTCCTGCACTTTTCCCAATTACAGTTATTTAAAGTGTGTGTGTGTGTGTGTGTGTGTGAGAGAGAGAGAGAGAGAGAAACTTGATTAATACTCTTGAGTGTTTGTCACCAGACCCAAGTACCAGAACAGATTTAATCTATGCTGCACATTAGTCTCCAGCACACCGTCTCACAAAGAATCAGATGCTTGATAAAGATATGTGGATATTACTGCTCCTGTCATCACACGCTCTGATCACCACCGTTTGTCTCTGTTTAGCAGTGCTGTGACCACTTGGGGTAGCCAATCTCGCCCGGTTAAATGAGAGGCTAAGAGTCAGCATGGAATTTAGAGTACTCCGGGAGACAAACGCCCAGTAAGAGGCTGCCACTTAGAAGAGCAGCTCTTGGTTCCTGTCTGGGACTGAGAGAGTAGTCAGTTCTTTCCAAAGACACAAGCCAGGGCAGGCGTGCAGGACCAGACACACTCCGCAGAGCCCAGCGCAAAATAAAAATGCAGCTCCCTGTTGGAATGAATTAGAGAATTTCAAGATGGTATCATCTGAGTCATGAACCCAGGGCAGGACTGTGTCACTGCACAGGTTGCACACCCCTGAGGCTGGCACCTACAGTTAACCAAGAAAATCTAAACATTAGCTTGCGATTTGCTGTTAGAAAACGAAGGCGGGAGTTTTGTTGTATTAATGGGGGGGGGGGGCTAATTATCCTGCTGTACTTCCTTCTCTTACACACAGAGGCTGTGTCTTGACAGGAAACCGCCCCTCTGTACCCGTATCCAGTGGGCCTGTCCCTGTGTCTCCAGATTTCCTAAGTGTGGATATGAAGGAAAATCCCAACTCCACCAATTGCAGTTTAGCGACATAGCAAATCCCTTAGCCTCCCTAAAACTTCGGTTTCCTCACCTAAAAAGCAGAGGTGATACTACCCACCCCAGACAGTAAGTAGCTGTGGTACTGATGCTTCAATAAGGCAAGAACATGTGCCAATGCACAGCGCGCCCCGGAGCAGGTGTCCACGCAGGGTCAGAGCTGAGCCGGGGAACCCCGCTCAGCCCCTGCGCCGTCACTGAACCCTATAAATAGCTCCGCTAAGTCACCATCTCGCTCGCTCACTCACTCCGAGGCGAGGGCTGAGCCGGCTGCTGCAGGTGGTCCCTCCTGCTCGCATCATTGATGGCTTTTCTATTCATGGGCGTCTGCCTCTGAATTGCCTGCCATCCCAGCGGAAGAGACACCCCCCGGCCGGAGCCAGCGCGCGCCCAGCCTCGGCGCAGAGTCCCGCGGTGGGGGGGTGCGCCCCGCCTGCCCTCGCCACTCCCGCGGTGGCCGCGCGGCCCCGCCCCGGAGCCGCCCCCTGCCGCCCCCTCCCTGGGCGGGCGAGCCCCAGGCCGCTCGCCCGCCCGCCCGCCCGCCGCTGGCTGGGTGGCAGTCACGACAGAGCGCGGTCGCCGGCGAGGTGGGCGCGGGCGCGGCGGGGAGCGCGGGAGCGCCCAGGACGTGGGCAGGGCCCCGGGCGGGGGCGCGGCCGGAGGAGGGCACGTCGGCGCCTCGGCGAGGATGGGAGTCCCCGGCACCCGCGGCTGAGCGAGCGGGCGGGCGCGCGGCGGGCAGTGCGCACGAGGAGGGCGAGCCTGCTGTTCCCCCGGGAGCCCAACACCGTTCCCGCGCGGCCACGATGATCCCTCCGAGCGGCGCCCGCGAGGACGGCGTGGACGGGCTGCCCAAGGAGCCGGCGAGCGCCCAGCAGCCGCCCTCTCCCGCGTCCACCAGCAGCCAGGAATCCAAGGTACCGCGCACACTTGCCCCGAAAGAACCCAAACTCACTCTCCCCTCCCTCTCCCCAGCCACCTTAGCCTCCTCCTGACCCGGCGCGGGCGTCCGGGCTCAGACAGGTCCCTAGTTGGGCCGGGGCTGCAGGACCTGAGACCTGCACAGGGCTCCCTGTGAACCACCCCGGACCGCATCCCCGGGGCCCCCAGCCTCCTGGCGCGCGCAGACCGGAGCCGAGCACACGCAGCAGCTCCCGTTGACTCCGGGTGCACAGATCCATTTCTTGGGGGTTTCGGGGGATTCTGTGCTTTGAACCTGCTTGTAGCCAAAGCGTGTGTAGGTGGGTGTTAGGCGGTGGCTCCTGGAGGCTAAGGGGTGGAGACGGCCGAGGGTACTGGGCCAGCCAACGGTGTCGGAATCCCAAGGGGCTCGGAACAGGACTCAACTCATCCCTAACTTTCGTTGCTGCTGGTTTCAAAAACAACTAGGCAGAAGGAAGTAGTGCGTTCTCCAGAAAGTTGATGTTCCTTGTGGAAGTTGATAGGACTCCAAGAACTCACCCTTGCACGGCAGTGAAGGCTAACACATGCGCACGACACCAACCCTGCCGCAGTCCTTCTCTGTCACTATTCTGCTTCCTCTGAAGCTCGCTGGGTGCCAGGCACATGTTTGGAAATCTTGGAAGAGGATCAAGTAAAATGTGGCTGCTCGCGGTGTGGTGCCGAATGACAACTCAGCCTGGAGTGGAAATCGTAAGATGGAGCTGGCCGGTTACGGGCAGCGTCGGGAGTGCCGGGCTGCTGGCCGGGGGAGGACAGGTTGCTCTGCACTGTGAGGCAGTCTCCGAGGAGCAGAAAAGGCAAGGTGGATGGCAGTGTAGAGCGCAGGTCACTAGGGGCAAGGAAAGGCCAGCGGTGTCTCCAGGTCCTGCAGCCTCAGTGGCTCTGCGAGGCCGTGTGATGCTGACTTGGTTCCCTGCATCCCCTGAAGTTACTCAGCCACAGTAAGCCGACTCGGAAAGCATTGCATTTTTTTAAATTTCTTCTTTTTCTGGCTATTACTGGCTGTCTGACTCCAGGACATGTGTATGTCAGATTTCCCCAAACTCAGTTGCAAATGAGGACAGAAGCCCCCAGCTTCCAGAATCCTCGTGAGGAACAGGTGAGATGAGCCCGTGTCCATCCATCAGTGTGTATCCTTTTCCTTCTGATGCCAGGAGATGCAATCCACTCCAAAGCAGTGGCACCACCCTCACGGGCACACCCTTTCTTGCTTCTGGAAGTTTCTAGGTGTCTCAGTGTCTACCGTGGAGCACCCGTCAGTCCCTGAAGTGATGTGAGTTGTAGTGGCCATTGCAAAGGTGGTCTGCAAAGAACTCAAGGGTGAAAGTGGTGTTAGACTTTTTGAACTGGGACTGTCGCTCAGCAGTAGGTGTGTTCTGAAAAGGGCTTAGCATTTGGGTAGCAGCGGCATGGTTCAGACACCCCGCATGAGTCTGCTATTTATAGATGTCCTGAGGTACAGTATTTGGCAAAGCAAACGCCTCCTATGTAATGCCCATAATGAGCCACCAGTTTATCCGAATTGTGGTGTTGGATATGCGCAGGCCAGTGTTTTCTCCACGTGGTCTACACAACTCCTGTATAGTTTACACATTCCTAAATTTGCTGTCATGGCTTTGATATTAGTGTAGATGAGCTACGGGGGGCACATGAGCCCCAGGAAATGGAATGCAAAATCGTGCGCCTGGATGTGAATTTTTCTTGGCTGAGCATTCAAGATATTCTCAGAGGGAGCCATGCCTCTCGAGAGAGGCTTACATGCTGTGTGGCAGAAGGTGCAGGGTGGTATGCAACAGGGGGCAGAGGAAGGCTCTATTCGTTCTGTGCGAGGAAGGCCATGTTTTGAAGCTTGGTGGCATTTATGAAGATCCAGGTGAGGAAATGTGAACAAGAGAGTGGTCATCATTCCAGCCTCCTCTCCTGGCAAATGGCCATGTTTGTCAAAGTACATACCCTTCAAGATAACCGCAAGTGAATTCTGAATGTGTCACCACAAAAAATGGCAAGTGAGTGATGGGATGGCTATGTTAATTAGCCCAAATTATTTAATCATTCTACATTGTACACCTATATCAAAACATAAATGTGATTTAATTATGATTTGCCAGTTAAAGGGACAGGCATCATTCACGCCCTACTGGGCATTAAACTTTCTCAATGTTTTTTAATTTCTTACTTTCTTTAGAAATTTTTCCTTGTGTAGATAACACTTTGTAGATATTTGAAAAGTCCAGATGACAATGAAAAAATTATAGCGTTTTGATATAGAACTCATGTATGTTTTCCTCCACACTTACGTTTACATAGTTGGGAGAACCACAGTGAGCACCTGCTGAATGCTTGCTACAAGTCAGGTGCAACCGTAACCCTCACCTTAGGTGTTGATTGTGGTATTTTCTGGCTAGGGTAATAGGAGCTCAGAAAGGCGAGGCAGCTTACCCTAGACTGTAGCCAGTTAAATGACACAGGCAGGACAGGGACGCAAGCAGGCTGGTTCTGGAACCCAGGCTCTCAACCACCCAGCACCTGCCTTCCACACTGGTGCAGTCTTCCTTCCTCCCTTTTTCCCTTGGCGTCCTAAGAATTTTGCAAGTCATTTGCAACATTGTGTGTGTCTCATCTTCAGAAACCTTTGTAAATACAGTGAGCCACATTACATGCTAAATGATTCATGGCTGATACTCTTCCAGTTTCTTTGTGTTTGGTTTTGCTACTCTTTCCTCTAAAAGTAAACTTATGGAAGTAATTAAATGGAATATCACAGAATCATCTGGGAAATGGGGCCACACCACACCCTCCAAGTCCAGAAGCTGCACTAACAGAAGAATAAGTGATCCGATGTCCTGGGCATTTAAAATGTTCCCAGAAGTCCACTTCTTTGCAGAGTCTTTGAAATGCTAGATCACAGAACATTAAAACGGGAACCATTAGAGATCATCTATTGTGGGCATTTTTAAATCATGGGCTTTTATTTTGTACAAGTGTTTTATTAGGGAAAACATCAGTACACACAAAAGTAAACAGGGTAGAGAATTCTTGTGGACCCAATCCACCAGCTTCAGGAACTGTCAATCGATGGACAGCATTGTTTTCCTTATTACTGCCACCACACCCTCCCCTGGACCACTTTAAAGAAAATCCCAGGCATCAAATCATTGTTTCATCCCTAAATATTTCAGGTTAGAGATCTAGAAGATAAAGGCTCTTCATAGAAACATGACTATGGTCTCGTTAGTACATGTTACATGTGTTTTTTTTTTTTTTTTTGTATTTTTTTAATCAAGGGCCAATAAACTCTTTGGAAGTCCTTCAATGGTCTTTGGAAAATCTATGAACAGTCAGAGCCATCATTTAAAGTTGTGCATAATCTGGGGGAAAGGATACATATCTTATGATCCTTAAAAGGGTGTATATCCATCAAAGATTATTTCAATCTCAATCTCTCTCTCCCTCTCCCCCCCCCCACCCCGCCTTTCCCTCTTTTCCCTGTCTCCCTCTGAAATTGGTCTCCAAAGACAGCCAGTGGATATCCCAGTAGTTACCTCAGAAAATTACTATAAGTACCAGCAGTGATAAGGTTTAACATAATTGTGGTTTTTCTTTTTCCTGAAATTAGTTCAATTAGAAAGTTTGAATGCCACTGGCATAACACACTGTTCTATCTTTCCATTAACTATTCCAGAAAGAGTACAGCCTATTTTCTAAGGACTTGACAGAGATCATTGAATACCAAGAAGAATTTCGTGTTTCATTATCCCTTCTCCAATGAATGTCTTCTCTCCTACTTAGAAAGCTTGCCAGGTTTGAGTGTTCATGTTTGCTATGAGTATTCTTATCTTTCACTTATAAGATCCAAGGCCACATTTCCACAATCTGGAGGAATTACAGGTTTTGAGGCCTAATAGACAAGAATTCAGATCCCTTCTCGTCACTTGCCATCCATGTGACCATGGGCAAGTTGCCTGATGCTCCCAAGTTTCAGTCTCTCATCTCTAGAATGGGGATGCTACTCTGATAAAAGGCTTACATTTTTTCTTTCTTAACAGAAATCTTCACTGTACTTGAATGTATTAATCACCTCTACAGTTGTGTTTTTTTTGTATCCCACTTGTGTTTGTGCATATTTCAAAGTTATGGAGGCATTCTCCCATATTACTTCCCACAAGTGTTATTATTTTACCTCTCATAGGTACGGCTATAATCCATGTGGAGCTGCCATTTTGGTAGTGTGAAATAGGGGTCAAGATTCATTTACTTTACTTTATTCTTTTTTAAAGTTGATTTATTTATTTGAAAGGCAGAGTTACAGAGAGGCAGAGGCAGAGAGAGAGAAAGAAGTCTTCCATTCACTAGTTCACTCCCCAATTGGCTCCAACAGCAAGAGCTGGGCCAATCTGAAACCAGGAGCCAGGAGCTTCTTCTGGGTCTCCCGTGTGGGTGCAGGGCCCCAAGGACTTGGGCCATCTTCTACTGCTTCTCTGCCAAAACAGAGAGCTGGATAGGAAGTGAAACAGCTGGGACTTGAACCGGCACCCATATGGGATGATGGCACTGCAGGCAGTGGCTTTACCTGCTATGCCACAGCGCCAGACCCCTCGAGATTCCTTTTTGATACCACCACTAATGCGCTAATCAACTTGACTATGTGGAAGTTTCTATTCTGTTCCATTGATCTCTTTGTCTACACTTGTAACAGAACGACTTTGCTAAATGTAACGGTTTTATTTAGAAAGTCTTCACATCTGAGTATGTCTGAAGCTATGCTCTTCTTTTTTCAAATTATTTTTTATTATTTTTGGCTCTTTGCATATCCTCATGCATTTTAGAATCATGTGATCAATTTCCACCAAAACTACATGCTGGGAATTTGATTGGAATTGCATGAATCTATAAGTCCATTTGGAGAAAATACATATTTATGATAGTCAGTCTTCAAATAACATATCCCACTCCAGAATGCTTACTTTTGTCAGAAATGCCAGGCTAAGCTTCTTCTGTCAAGTACCCCAAGACATCAGTGGCTGAAAACAGAACTGTGTTACTATTTCAGTTTAGGGGTTCCCAGATCCGTTCTTGTGCGAAATTGAGCTTCACATCTAGGCATCTATGAAGAGGGATGTCCATGATTATGAATTTCAAGGGAAGTGTTTACTTATTTAGAAATTTATATTTGTCCATCTTAAGTCTAAGCTAAGATTTCATTGTCATCAACCTGAGTTGGTATTTTGTTTCTAGTCCATTCTTTCTTTTCCAAAACTCACTGCATAAAGTCATCAAAACTTAACCCCCTAAGGTGTTTGGTTTTTCCACTTGATAAAATGTTCACAACATACAGTTTGTCATTTTGACTGTTTGAAGTCCTGTCTTTGGCATTAAGTACATTCATTCCATTCTGCAAACCTAACCACCATTCACCTCCAGAAGTCTTTGATCATCCTGCACTGAAACCCTGTACTCCTTCAACACTAATTTGCTGTCCTCCACTTTCCCTGGACCCTGGTCACCACCATTCCACACTTTGTCCGTATTAATCTGGCTCCTCGAGATACCTCGCAGAAGAGGAATCCTATAGACTCTGTCCTTTAGTGACTGACATATTACACTTGCAGAATGTCTTCAAGATTCTCTTTGCAGCACGTATCAGAATCCTGTTGTTTTTAAAGCTGAATAATATTCCATTGTATGTCTATACCGCTAAAGTTGAATAATATTCCATTGTATGTCTATACCACATGTTCTTTAGCTGTTCATTTGTTGATGGACACTTTGCTTCTACCTTTTGGCTGTTACAAATAGTGCTGCTATGAATGTGGGTACTCAACTTCCGCTCAGATTCCTGCTGTCATTTCTTTTGAACGTACAGCCAGAACTGGAATGGCTGGGTGATGCATTCTGCTCATTCTGCGGTGTTATCACACCATGTTCCACAGTCGCTATACCATTTTACATTCCCACCAGGGTTCCAGTGGCTCAACATACTCTGTGGAGCTGTTTCATTGTTCCTAGTAGGAGACGGTATCTCACTGTGGTATTTATTTGTTTTTCTGTAATGGCTAGAGATGTTAAGCATCTTTCCATGTACTTATAAGTCATTGTATATATTTAGGAAAATGTCTATCAAGCCCTTTACTCATTGTTTTAGTTGTTACCTGTCCTTGAGTTGTATGATCATGGGTGCTGAAACTCACAAATTTGAAGGACAAGGAAGTATTGGATTTTATTAGCATTTTAATTACATTCAGTCACTAGGAAGAATCACATTTAATTCTTTCTAAATTTGTTTTCTTTTATAAATTATCTGTGTCCTCCATTT